TCTGTTTATATCTTTAGAGACCCGAAGGTGAGAGAGTCTATTAAAAATACATATGTGTATTGGGCTAGGGTTGAGGCTCAGAGGTAAACGCTTGCCTAACATGTGTCAGGCACTGGGTTTGATCTTCAGCACCACATGAAAATAAAATATTGTGGTCACATATAACTAAAAAATAAATATTTTTTTAAAATACATACATGTATGTATATATACGTGCACAAACAGTGCATTACAACTTTTAGTTCATCCCAATACAAAATAAAAATATAAAGTTTTAAAAAAATTTTTACAGGAAATCTTTATAATTCAAATAGATTTGGAAAATAAAGAGGGTTATCTAATGTTTGAAATTCATCAGCATCTACTTATTTTGCTGTATTTGAGATAGAATGATACTGCTATTGATTGAAACAACAGTATGGAAGTCACATATAATCAATTTAGGTCACACTAAAAGGCTAAAAATGCCGGAACTATATATATATAAAAGCAATATAAGTCTCTAGGAGAATATAATCTCTTGGTAATACAAGCCAACAATTCCTATGGATTACTTAAAGCAAAATGGAATAGAAGATAGAACTCTGTTTGAAATTAAGAAGGTAATATTTAGTACAAGGTTGAAAAATAAAATATACTTATTAAAAAAAAACCTTCTTGTCTCCCAAGTTTGCATATGATGCTGCAGAGTATAAGAAACTGGCTATTGAATTGGGAGTGTTTTAATTGCTGTACAATATCCTTATTCTTAAAAATATATACTGTGAAAAAATTGTCATTCTATTTTATTGGACTTATTTAAAAAATGCTCTGAGCTCCTGAAATGATGAAAATTATAGAGTTATTGGCGTGAACATACTTATATACAAAGATATGAAAAATTGTGCTTTATACGTGTAATAAGAATTGTAATGCATTCTGCTGTCATGTATTTTAAAAAATAAAATCAATAAAAAAGAATAAACAATACAGATTTTTTTTAAAAAGGAAACTAAGGGAAAAAAACCCCAGAAAACCATTTTTTTTAATGATTACCTCAAAACTAAGATGTATAAACAAGTGAAAATGGAGACAAACATATCCAAACCTATGGAATGTAGCAAAAACAGTACTTAGAGGAAAAGTTTATAGCAATCTATGCCCATATCAAAAAGACATATCTCAAGTAAATAACTTATTGCTGCATCTGAGGGAACTAGAAAAACAAGAGCAAACCAAAATTAGTAGAAATAACAAAGAGTAGAGAAGAAATAGATAAAATGGAGACTCCCCAAAACAAAATTAGCCAAATGAAAAAAACACCAAGCAATACAAAAGATCAATAAAACAGGGTTGATTCAGAAAACAATCAGTTAGACTAAGAAAAAGTGAGAGGAGACTCGAATAAAATTAGAGGGGAGATACCATTATAGGTATCACAGAAATATAAATATCATTAGAGATTAGTATGAACAACTGTATGCCAACAAGTGTGATACTCTAGAAGAAATGAACAATTTTCAAGACACATACACCTTACCAAGATTGAGCCATGAATAAAAAACCTGAATAGAGCAATAACAAGTATATAACCAGATCAAATTAGCAATAAAAAGTCTTTCATTGAAGAAAAGTCCAGGGCCAGATGGTTTCACTGCTGAATTCTATCAAACATTTAAAGAATACCAATTCTCCTTAAGTTATTCCAAAAAAGAGAAGAGAAAGGAAGGTATTCTTCCAAACACAATCTACAAGACCAGCATTATCCTGATACCCAAACTGGAAAAGAACATGACAACAACAACAAAAAAACTACAGACTGATGAACAAACATATAAACATCCTTAACAACACGTTAACAAGATTAACATGATAAAGTGGGATTCATCCCAGTGGTGCAAGGATGGTTCAATATTACACAAATAAATAAACATGATACACCATATCAACAGAATGAAGGACAAAACCCATATGGTCATCTCGGTGGACACAGAAAAGGCATTTGACAAAATCAACATTGCTTCATGATAAAAACGCTGAAAAATTAGGTATAAAAGGAATGTATGTCAAAGTAATAAAGGCCATTATAGTTGAGTCAACAGCTAACATACTGAATGGGGAAAAGCAGAAAGCTTTCTCTCTAAGGTCTGGAACAAGACAATTTTACCATTTCTGTTCAACGTAATTCTGGAAGTTCTAGCCAGAGCAATCAAACAAGAGGAAGAAGTAAAGGGCATCTAAACTGGAAAACCAGTCAAATTACACTGTTTGAAGATGACCTTACATACTCTCTGTATGTGTAATCTATGTGTGTATGTGTGTGTATAATATATGTAAATTATTAAATCTAATTTTATAAATTATATATATGATCTATTAGAACTAATAAATGAATTTGGCAAAGTTGCAGGGTACAAAATTAACATGCAAAACCTACTAGTGTTGCTATATGTCAACAGTAAAATCTGAAATAGAAATCAAGAAAGCAATCCCATTTACAATGGCTATGAAAAACAATATAGAAGTTCCTCAAAAAATGGAAAATAGAATTAGTGTCTGATCTAGCAATCCCACTGCTGGGTATATATCCAAGGAAAATGAAGTCAGTACGTTGAAGAGACATTTGCACTACCATGGGCAATGCAGCACTATGCAAAATAGCCAAGAAATAAAAACCAAGTAAGTGTTCACTGACTGGTGAAGGGATAAAGAAAATGTGGTAGACAATGGAATACCATTCAGCCACAGAAAGAATGAATTCTGTCATTTGCAATAACATGAATGGAAGTAGAGATCATTATGTTAAGTGAAGTAAGCCAGGGACAGAAACACCAGTACTGTATGCTTTCACTCATATGTGGAATCTAAAGATGTCAATCTCATAAAAGTTGAGAGTAGAATGACAGAGAGGCTAGAGAGTGCGAGGAAGGGAGGGAGGGGGAGAAATTGACAAATGGGCACTAAGTTATAGTTGGACAGGAGTGAGAAGCTCTGGTATGCTATGGAATAACAGGGTGATTACAGATAACAGGAATGTACTGTATATTTCAACAAGGCAGAAGGAAGGATTTTGAATGTTTTCACCATAAATAAATGGTCAACATTTGAAGAGATAAATATGTTTATCCTGATTTAAATATTACACAAGGTATACAAGTATTGACACATCACATGGTACTCCATTAATAAATAAAATTAATGTTTCCATCAGTTAAATTTAGAAAATTAAATTTAATAATTTATACACCAAGAGGTATAAAAGATACTACGAAAATTACATGCCAATTGGACAGGCTTGTAAATTTCCATGAGCACTTTTAACGTGGTTAAGAGAAAAGAGCTTTTATGAGATCAATATTTTTAGATCTCACGTATGACCAAGATCATGCAGCACTTGTCTGTGCCTGGCTTACTTCCCTGAACATAATGATCTCCACCTCCAGCCATGTTGTGGCATGAAGCAATAGTCTCATCATCAGCTTAGTATGAGGGACAATTCTTTCATCTATAAAACAAGGACAATAATTCTCTGCCTGCCAAGCCTATAATTTTTCTTTCTTTTTGTTAAGAAAGTGATTGAAAATAATGTCACTTACTAAAACAACAACATCAAAAAATCCAAAACCCAAAACCTCAAATATAAATAAGGACATCAAATATGAGAGGCAGACTTGAGTTCAAATCCAGGCTCCACTACTTACTAGCTGTGTGACACTGGGCAAGTTTCTCAATCTCTTTTCGCCTCAGTTCCTCGTCTGTAAAATGAGGATAATAATAGTATCTAGGGTTGTATTATATGAGACTACATTTGAAATGCCTGGCACATAGTAAGCACTCAATAAAAACTGGTGCTGGCAATGATGTACTGATGCAACACTCTAAAATTATCAACATTACAGAGGCACAAAATATTAAAAATGTATCATGCATGTTCAATGATTTTAGAGGAATGTTATCCTTCATGAACTATATACATTTTAAGTTTACCTAAGCTAGTATAGTCCTTATTGAAATCCATGTTTTTTTTTCATTACATGTCTTCCAGATGTGACTATAAACCAACAATGCCAATTCCATATGCCATATAGAGAAAATAACAAAGTAGTGAAGAAAATGAACTATGAAGCCAAATTGCCCAAATTCAAATATCATTTTTATTATTTACTAGCTATATGATCTTGGGTAAGAATCTCGGTACCTCAGATTCTTCATCTATAAAACAGGGATAATAACAGCATTATCATATAGATTTATTATGGAGATTAAATAAATAAGATCATAAGCATAAAACACCCTGTAGAGTTGCATAGTTTAGATCTGGAATGTTCCCCACAGACTCATGTGTTGAAGCCTCACTGGTTCCAGCCAGTGGTACTACTGGAAGGTGGTGGAAACTTCAGGAGGTGAGGCCTAGTTGGAAGTTAGAAGGGTATATCTTGTCCCAGGCCCCTTCCTTCCTGTCTCTTTCTCTCTGGGTTTTGAATGCCATGAGGCAAGCAGCTTTGCTCTGGCATACCCTCCCTCACCATGATATTCTGTTTCACCATAGGTTCAGGATCAACGGAGCCAAATAAACATGGACTGGAACTTCTGAAACCATGAGCCAAAATAAAGCTTTCTTCTTTAAGTTGATTTTATCAGGTATTTTGTCATAGCAATAGAAAGATAACATATACAATGCTCAAAAATTATTAACCATCATCATCATTACCTCTTAGAGTCATTCTAGCAAAAAAAAAAAAGAAAGATTCACCCCTGACCACTAGAATTTCACTCTTATCAAAGAAGCATAATTGATTCCTTAATTGGTTCTTATGAATCCACAAACTCTCAAGATTCTTAAACTGGATTGGCGTTTGAGACAATATACTGTACCCTGCTCAATATGAACAAGGTAAAAAAAATAAATTTCATATTGATCTTTCTAAAATTATCATTACTGAAAAGTTAGAAAAGGCCAAGATGAATCATCAAAATCCATTTTGACACTGCTTTCTGTTTTAAGCAAGCTGACTTCCTACCTGTCATCTGTATTACGCAGAGATGGGAGCCGAAAACTTGTGTTTCTGTCAAGCTTTGACTGGCTTTTGGTCCTCTTGATGGAGCCTTTCAGGCGCTTGCTGAAGAATCCCTAGAATGAAAAGGCAGATGGTGATGGGAGAGAGAATCAACAGGGAATATTACCTTCTGCACTAAATTTGCAAAATGTGTTCAGATTTTTATAATGTAGACTTGAAACAGAATCCAGATTTCAATTTTTTTTATATGTAATAGTTGCTTGAAACCACTTGGTAAGTGATAAGATCATTTTATTTTCTGTGATAATTAAAGTTTTTGATAGCACTGAGTTCTTATTTCTAGTTTATACTAGTTATGTAAAAAAATTTCTAACTTTACTAATAGATTTTTAAAAACACAACAATAAAACATTGACAAATGTAATCTTTTCTATGAAGATAGTATCAGCAATTTCAAAAGAAATGACACAAAGTGATTTTCTAAATTAAGAGCAAATAATTAAAGAGAACAGAATGTGAAAATGACCTGAAATGAGAAAGTACTTGGTATATTGCAGGAACTGACAGTGACACTGAGAAAAGAAACTTGACCTTAAGACATCAAAAAAAGAATTAACTAAGTAGTACAAGGTAACTTGTTGGTAGTCTCAACACGAATGGTGTGACTCTACTTTATGTACAACCAGAGAAATGGAAAATTGTGCTCCATATGAATTGAAATGCATTCTGCTGTCATGCATAACAAATTAGAACAAATAAATAAATGAATTAAAAAGAAGACTGTTAAAATTAGGTCCATATCACTTTGGATATGGTATTTGTAAAGTTAACATTTAAATGGAGATAACTGTACTAGCTTTTAAAACTTCATATCACTTTTAGTTTCATTTCAACGAACCCAAACCCAAACCAAAACAAAACAAACAAAAAAATCAAAACAAACTTGTGACCACACCTAACATCTATGGGGAAGGGATTTGTAGAAACCCCGAAAGAGAACTAGAAATATTTGGTAAACAGTAGCACAGACTACCATGGTGTTTTATCAAGTCACATATTTTTTAAACACTTAGGCATTACTCCATTCATTAGAGAAAAATGGAAACAAACTTATTTGAATTACAACTATTTATTTATTTTTTTGTTAAAAGATTTAATTTTAGAAGTCTTTATAGGAAGAAGTTAGTAAATTTAAAAATTTCTGTGCAAATATTTGTGTAATTTTTATAGCTTGCTGTTAGGCATTTCAACAGGCATGTGTTAGGGATGGATATCAATGCCACAGGAGGCATTTGCTCCATGTACCTTTGCAGTTTTGTACATGAATTACAGCTATTAGATGAGTGAAGAAAAAAACGTGTCAATATTTTATTGATCTTGATGCTGAAAGAGTAAGTACAGACTGAGGATGTAGCTCAGTAGCATAACATGCATAAAGTCTTGGCCTGGCCTTTCCTCTTCCAAGTGTAAAATCTAGAAAATATCACATAGGCATAATTCTCTAAACTATCATTTTGTTCCAGCTTCTACATACATAGAGACATTAGAAGAAAGAGAAAACAAGTTCTTTTTTGAAAGTACCGTAATACTTAGAGATAGTCATTTGCTTGGTCTCCATACAGACTTAAGAGTCATTAGGGAGAGTTACTGTCATTAGTTCTCCAGGGCACAGGCTTTATTTTCTGTAACTCAATTAGAATGAATCACCATATTGCCCATAAATGCAGTCAGCAAACTAGAGTTAAGATTATAGAATTCTAGGAGGAGTATAGGGTTGTTTAAAAAAATCACTACCCTAAGTTGAGAGGGCCTTGACAACAAGCACACACTTGCGCACATGTGCACATGCACAGGGTAAAGCAGCCGACTAAATGTGTCCTAGTCAATGTTCACACATGCAATACTTTAACTTTATTTAGGTTTTTATTTGATTTTATTTCATATTTTAATGTATTTATTTAATAAAATTCATTTTATATCTTTGTGGTATAGAATTGTACTAGAATTTACAAGAAAATCAAAGATAAAACAAACACACAATCTGCCTTAGAAGAACTTGTAATTTAACGTAGGATTTAGATACTACATAAAATTATATACATAAACTTATTGTTAGGACAAGGCTGAGGAAAGAATCCCTGAGCACAAGGATATAACAAAAAGAAACCTTCAAAACTGAAAAACAAATAGAACTAGATTTTGAAATCATCAAAACAGATTATCCAAGGACTGTGGGACAACCATAAAAGGTATAACCTATTCATAATGGGAATACCAGGAGAGGTGAAAAAGTAACAGAATATCTGAAACAATGACTAGTATTTTCCCAACTTAACGTCAGAACCAAACCACAGATCCACAGAACACCAAGCTCCATAAATAACAAAAATAACAACAGCAACAAAACAAAACAAGAACAATAAAAACATTGCCCCAAACCACATATTTCAAACTATAGAAAATTAAAGATAAAGAAAAAATTCTGAAAGAAGCCAGACGGGGGAAAACCACCTTGTATACAGAAGAATAAAAAATTACATCTGATTTCTCAGAAACCTTGGAAGCAAGACAAAAATGAAGTAAAATATTTCAAGTATTGAGAAGAAACAAACAAAAACCCATGCCACCCTACAATTCTCCAACCTGCAAAATCACCCTTCAAAAGTGAAGTAGATACTTTCTCAAACAAAGATTGAAAAAATTTGTTGTTGATAGACCTGCCTGACAAGAAATGTTAAAAGAAGTTCCTTAAAGAGATACAAAATAATATAGGTCAGAAACTTGGAGCTGAATGAATTTAAAAAAAAAAAAAAAAAAAAAAAACACTGAAGAAGAAAGTGAAGGTAAAATACAAACATTTGTTTAAAATAATAATATCAATAATGTATTTGATTATGCATACATAAGCAAAATTAATCACAGCAATAATATAAAGGATAGGAAGGGAAAATTAGAATTATTTTGCTATTATAAAGTATTTACACTATATGTGAAGAGGTACAGTGTTACTGAGAGTGAACTTGGATTAGTTGTAAATATATGTAGCACACTCCAGGTCAACCATTAAAAAAAGTAAAAGGAATTATAAATGATATAATAAGGGGAAAAAAGGAAATGAAATGTCCAATTAAAACTGTGAAAAGTAGAAAAAAAAATGGAAGGAAAAAATAATACAGAACAGGGCAACAAACAAAATAGTAACAAATAAGGTAGATAGTAATCTAACTATATAAAAAAATTGCTCTGAATGTTAACTGTCTAGATGTTCCAATTAAAAGGTATTGGCACAGTGGATCAAAAAGTAAGACCCAACCATATGCTGTCTTTAAGAAGTTCACACTGAATGTAGACACATATAGTTAAAAAGTAAATGAATGGCAAAGATAAACCATGCCAACACCAGTCAAAATAAAATAATAATAGCTATTAATTTTAGACAGAGCTTGTGTCAGAGCAAGAAAAGTTACCAAGTATCAAGAAGAGTATTACATAATGATAAAAATGTTAATTTTTCAAAAAAGACCTAATGATCTTTAGTGTGTCTGTGCCTAAACACAGGGCATCAAGGAACACGACACAAAAACTGAGAGTTATTAGGAGAAATAGATGAATGTACTATTGTAGTTAAAGACTCTGAAGTCCTTAGCCCACTATCAGCTATCCTCTTGTTCTTTTTTCCTTCTCTATTTAACGGGACTTCCTGGCCAATTATCTAAAGTATTCAATTATCAATATCCTCCATTTTCTTAATGATCAGCTATCCAAAATCAAAACTGGATCAAAGTTTATTTACATTCATCTTTCTGGTCCCATGATCAAGCTATTTAGAAAGATCACATAGCTATGTAGATTGATACCACTAAATATCCTTTGTCTCTAAGTTTGTTTTCTAATGTACCTCTATCCTGAAAGAACCATGCATTGAGCCTTCTGGCAACATAATCCTGTTCTGAGAAAGCTCAGTGTATACACCATGCTTAATTGCCCACTGCTCGCTTCTGAGAATTCCTTATGTACAGGTCACTATACTTTATACCATGCAGTTCTTCTGCCTTGGCTACATCTGACTGGATCAGAATGGATAAATGACCAAAACATCTAAGAGTAGTCTTGGTGAGAGTTCTATCTACAGGACATGGTATCTGGTAATTACTTTGTATTCTAGCTTGATCTCTTGTCTATTCCTTGCTTCATCCTTTATACTCTAATAACTCTGAAAGCCTATAATTCTCCATATTCACAATGCATCTCTGCTACTGCTCATATTCCTTCCTTTCTCCCAGATACTCACACTGGCTCAGTTATCCCTAGGTTCTAAGACACTGGGCTAGTCACAACTTCCAAATTTCAGATTCTCACCTGCAAAAGGAAGATTTTAAAATCAAGAATAAGTTAATAAATTAATAAAATTAAGAATAGCATAACTGAATACAAAAGTGTTTTTTTAATTATATTTTTTTGTGGTGATGGGGACAGATCCCAGGTCTTCACAATGCTATGAAAGTGTTTTTAAAATAAAGGAAAATGAGTACCTGTAAACATTAATTGAACATGAATTTAGGGTGGAAGACCAGTGAATAGGTAGGTAGAATCACAATTTTCTCTCTGGAAACCATTGTACTAAATGAAGTGAAGGAAACTAGAAATAAATTCCACAGTAGTAGAGATTTATGACTGCTACATTCAGTGACATATACCCCAGTGTCTACAGGGATACTTTGTACATTATAAGTGCTCAGTAAACACTTGTTGACTGAGTTTACTAAAGGCTTTCTCTGTATCAGAACTGTGCTTTCCAATATGGACTATCATTTAATTCATGCAGCAACTTCATGAAATAACTTGTTTAAGTCAGTAGATACCAAATTAAGATTTAAATTTAGCATATGCTAATATTTAAAATGTTTCGTTCATTTGTACATTTATTGAACATCTATTATTTGTCAGATACTTGACATATTTCACACATATTGGTGAAAAAACAAACAAACAAACAAAACCAAAACCCTGGCCTTCAGTAAGCTTACATGCTAGTGGGAGGAAACATGGCTATGTTTTATATACTGCAGCACTTGTCTTATTATGTTATGTTGAACATCACCAATATGTGTTG